TCTATAATTTACTTTTCTTCTTTTTTTTTCCCTCTCCCCCCTATCCTATCTCACCCATCCACAATTATCTTATAGGTATGATTAGATATATATATGCCTTATCATTGCTCTATCTTTATATATTTCATAAACTGATTATAGCTAAGAGAGAGAGAGAGAGAGAGAGAGAGAGAGAGAGAGAGAGAGAGAGAGAGAGAGAGAGAGAGAGAGAGAGAGAAAGAAAGAGAGAGAGAGAGAGAGACAGAGACAGAGCGAGAGAGACAAAGAGAGAGAGAGAGAGAGAGAGAGAGAGAGAGAGAGAGAGAAAGAGAGAGAGAGAGAGGGAGAGAGAGAGATTGTGGGAGAGAAGGAGAGAAGAAGAAAGACACATGGAAAAAAAGGGACAGACAGAGATAAACGCACACACACACACACACACACACACACACACACACACACACACACACACACACACACACACACATGCGCGCGCACATACAAATACACACCCAAACACACCCAAATACACACACCTATATATATATATATATTATATCTATTATCTATTTGTGGTGGCCGAATTTTGCTATTCAAGAGGCTTTTTAATGGCTGCCTGGATCGACACGCGGTTCTCGCCAAAAAAAAATTTAAAAAATTCTCCAGATCATGACGTCCTTGGTTTTTTAAGTTTTGATACAGTTTTGCTGTGAAAAGTTAAATTTCTTTATTTGGACGATCGCTTTTTGTAGGCCGACTCTTCTGTCTCTGTAATTTTAGAAAGTCCGGAAGTGATAATTCGCGAGGCGCATTTTGTTTTGAGAGTATAGATCTAGACCTTCTCATGTTTTGCATCTCTCGAGATTTATTTCCTCTTTCCAGTAGAGTGTAAATACAGTAGACCAATGACTTTCAGTTGATATTAAAGCACCGATCATTCCTTTCATTGAAAGGGGGCACAGCTAGTATAATAATATGTATATATACTTATATATATAATTTTATATATCATGTACATGTATAATCTACATTTTTGTTTTAGTAGAGGTTTTATTGCGCTAGCAGCTGCATAAGGTCATATGAGCGCCAAGGGGTGGATGTCAACAGAGAAGTCCTTACACAGGGAATCAGACTTACTCTGCTCACCTCTCTAGCTTCAACAGTACAAAGTCTGCCTCGACTATCAAGGCAACCAGAAACTAGCGGGTCACAAGAATGTGACAAACATACAAAAGAAGTAGAGGAAAATTACTATAATAAGGATTAGGAAAGAAAAAGCAGCAGTTCCCTGTTGCAGTTCAGGCAGTTATGAGCACGACATCGATGAATTAGCCCATTTACAATTCTACTGTGCATAAGAACAGGTTAATGTCCCCCTTTTGGGAATGGCCTAAAGACACTTCAGTCAGTAGCACCGCCCCGGGGGTGATAATTTACACTTTATATACATTTTAAAAAATATATGTATACTATATATATATATATATATATATATATATATATATATATATATATATAAATATGTATATAATATATTATGTAATACATATACACACATACTTATATTATAGTCACGTACAATGTAAACGCACTAATACCTGGAGTTCAGGCTCTTAGAGGTGATCCGCTCACGACCGTGCGGGGGTGCCAGGGTTCCTCTTCATCGTCTGAGCCTTGCATGTCGTCAGTTCCGCCCCCTCAGCCTCTGCACACGCTTTGCCACGCCTTGTACCCTGTACATTCATGCAGATCTTTGAGTAGTGGGTAGGTAGGTAGGTAGGTAGGTAGGTAGGTAGGTAGGTAGGTAGGTAGGTAGGTAGGTAGATAGGTAGGTAGGTAGGTGTGTGAGTTGTTTATCGCGCCAACAGGCAGCCTTCTTGTGTTCATACTATTTTGTGGTGTTTTTGACTGCTTTAATTTCTGGACATGTTAAAAAATTATACCATCTTGTGTGTTAAGATTTTGTGAATTATTTGACATACAATTTTCTTGAAAGGATGAACATTACCACAGTTATTTCAACTTTTCTGGGTTGGTGGACAAGTGGAGTCAGTGTTGGTAAACTTAGGCCCTCGGACTCGTAACCGTAAGGTCGAGGGTTCGAATCCCGCCAGGGGCCCGACGTTGTGTCCTTGGGAAAGGCATTTTACACGAATTTTCCTCACTTCACCCAGGTGGGAATGAGTACCCAGCTAAAGACAGCGAAAGATCTTGTCAGTTTGTTAGTGTTTGAGCGCTTAATCGGCTGCTTGCACTGTATGCTTCCCGGGAAGCTGAGAAT